AGGGATAATTTCTCCTGATTTCATTCTCAGCAAGTTCATTATTGGTATATAGAAAACCTGTTGACACCTGCACACGCACACACTCTGGTGTATGCATGTGGCCTTCCTCCCTACTTGGTGTGTGCATGTGACCTCCCTCTCTTCCTCTGGTTTGTGCATGTGTCTCTTTGTGTGCAAATACACGTGTGTGTGTGTATGTGTGTGTGTGTGTGTGTAGGACATAAATTGTTGTATAGTGTGTTCCATTGTTCTCTACCTTAATTTTTGAGATAGTCATCACTGAACTCACTGATTGGCTAAACTGGGATTATTGGTGTGTGCTGCCAAATCCAGCTTTTTACATGAATGCTAGAGGTCTGAACTCAGGTTCTCACGTTTGTGAGTCAAGCAACATGTACCCAGCAACAAAGCTGCTCATTCCTGTGTGTTGATTTTGTATTCTGCCACTTGGCTGAAAGTGCTCATCAAGTCTGAGAGCTCCCTGATAGAGTCTTGAGGGTCTTTTAAGTGTCATTTGCAAATAGGAATGATTTGATGCCTTCCCCTCCTGTTTTCTTCCTCTTGTCGTATGTTCTAAGACTTTGATCATTATTCTGAGTAAGAGCAGTGAGAGCTGGCTCCAATTGTCTCCTGATTTTTTCACGTTAATGCTTTTCAGTTTTCCTGTTTAATATGTTTGGGGCAGATAGAGATTTGTTACTTGTATTCCTAGGTTCCTTGGGGCTTTTATCATGAAGGGATGTAAAATTTTGTCGAAGGCCTCTTTTGCATCTATTTGAGACGATTATGAGATTTGTGTCTTTACATGTGATGTGCACATGTTGGGCAGCCTTCCATCCATGAATGAAACAAACTGGTCATGGTGTTTGATCTTATGATTTTTCCTATTGTGCTCTTAAATTCAATTTTTGGTATCTTACTGGGAATTGTTACATCTGTGTTCATTGGTAGAATTGGTCCACACATTGCCCTTTTAGTCTCCATTTCACCAGTTTCTTTTCTTCAGTTTGGTGCTACCCACTGCTTTTGAGTTTGGCTTGTTCTTCCTTTTCTAAGATCTTGGTGTGCATGATTAAACTGTTTGAAATCCTTCTGTAGGTTTTTTTTTTAAGTGCTCGCATTTATGAAGTTAGTTGTATATCAAAGGTTCTGTTAAGTTATGCATTTATTTTCATTTGACTGTAGGAATTGTTAATTTCTTCAATAACAGTGATCATTCAAGAGTGTACGGTTGGGACTCCTGGTACTTATGTGGTTTTTATTTCTTATTACTGAATTCTGGTTTTATCCCACTCTCTTCAGAAAAGATACATGAAGTTATTTTGATCCTTTTGTATTGCTGAGATTTTTCTTCTGGCCTAAACTGTAGATTGTTTTAGAGGGTGTTTGATGGGTTGCTGAGAATTGCCTTCACTTCTGTGGGTGGAATATTCTGTAGGTAACCATGAACCTAATTGACTCTACTACTTCTACATTGACTTTTCAGTCACATGGCCTGTGTGAAGATGTGAGTGTGCATTGACGTCACCTCCAGTTTAGTATCAGGGTCCCTCTGGTATCTATGTCTATTAGTGTTTGTTTATGAACTAAGGAGCCCCAAGAGTCGTTGCATGGATTTTTTCCATTTCTGCAGATCTTATTTATTTTCCATTTTTTAAAAATTAAATTAGAAGCAAGCTTGGTGCATGGATATTTACAGTTGTTAGAGCCTCTTGATGATTTGTTCCACCAATTAATTTGTAGAGATCTTCTTTATCTCTACTAATTTTAGTTTGAAGTCTACTTTGTTAGATATAAGAATAGATATCTATGCCAGCTTGTTTGTGCCTTCTATTTGCTTGATAGATTGACTTTTATCCTTTGGTTCTCAGCTTTGCTTGTGACGTATATTTCTTGAAGACAAAAACCTCTTGGGTCTTGCTCTTTTGTCCAGTCAGCCAGCCTGTATTTCTGGCCACTTACATTTCAGGCCATTGTTGAGATTTTTTTTTTTTTTTTTGGTTTTTCGAAACAGGGTTTCTCCGTATTAAATAGTTTTGGAGGCTGTCCTGGAACTCACTCAGTAGACCAGGCTGGACTCAAACTCACAGAGATCCGCCTGCCTCTGCCTCCCGAGTGCTGGGATTAAAGGCGTGCGCCACCAACGCCCGGCTTGAGATGTTTTTACTAATCTATGATTTTGTTGTTTTTCTGTTTGGGTTATTTGTTGCTTTCTTTCTACTAGTTTGTGGATGACTGTGTTGGACTTGATGGGGTTTTTTCTACCTCTCTCATTTATCCCTCTCATGAAATTTTTTTTCATGTTCTTGTAGCTGAATGTTTTTCCTTCTTTATATAATATCCCTTTAGATATTCTGCAGTGCTGGCTTGTTCGTTTATCACGAACCGCCTCAGTTTTTGCTTGTGAAATGTTCTTTCTCTGTCTGTTTGCAAAGATAGCTTTCTGGATGCTGCAGTTTGGGCTGACAGTAGCTTACTCGGAGCTTGCTTATTCTCCCATGCTTTCCTGGCTGCTATTCTGATGAGTTTGCCTTTGTAGGTGAATCAGTACTTTCCCATTACAACCTGAAATGTTGTTCTTTTTTAGTTTTGACACCTTGACTGTACTATGCTGTGGAGAAGTTCTTCCTTGTTCATGTCTGTTCAGGGTTCTAAATGCCTCTTGTGGTTGAGCTCCCTGCTATAACGTCATTGAGTAGACATTCTATGCTTTAGTGTTTGTCTCTGCACTGTTTTCATCCTGTGCATTCTTAGGTTTGGTCTCTTGATCAGATCCAAAAATTCTTGGGTATTCTGGTCATGCTCTCTGTTTGTCCTCCCACCCATACTTTTTGTTTGAGTGTAGTATTTCTTTGTCCTTGTCCTCCATTCCTGATAGTCAGTCTTTCCTCTGCTTAGTTGAGTCTATTCACAATGCTTTCCACTATTATTTATTTGACTTATTTCTTTTTTATTTCTGAGGGGTTTAATTATTTATGTTTTCCCTTTCAAAATCTGTTTCCTTGTTGAAGTTTTCTCTCGTTTCCTGCTTTTTCATCCATATTGCTGGTTTTATTTATCATGCATTTGGCTGACCTTTCCCTCTATATTGCTGACTTGAATTAAATTCATCTGTTTGCTTGTATCCCTTTTCAGGTCACTGGTGATTTTGCTTTTGAACTTTTGAAATCTTCCCCAGCTACTTCAGTGTCTCATCTTTCAATTGAGCCACTGAGGAATTTGGTTCTTCTGAAGCAGTTCTGTTTGCCTTGTTTCTGTCATGCTTCTTGTGTTCGTGTGTTGTGCTTTGTACATCTGTTGGTTTGTCTGTCTTCCAGTTTTATTTGGGGATCCCCTTACTGACCAGTCTACTCAAGAGGGCAGACTCCCCAGGACCACTTAGACAGAAGAGAACAACCCCAACACTGGTATCTATGTGGGCATGCCTTCCAGACCTCCTAAGTCTTAATCTCCCTCCTGGAGGGTGACACCAGTTTATACACTCTACAGCAGAGGACAAATAGGTGGCTCCTGAGGGTGATCCACTGGCCAGCTGACCTCAGGATGAGGGGCTGTCAAGTTCAGTGGTACTCTCAGTTATGAGTGTCTTAGTTGCTTTTCTGTCACTGTGATAAAATATCCTGACAGCAGCAACGTAAGAGTGAGAGAGCATATTTTGGCCTGTAGTCCCAAAGGGCTACAGTCTGTCATGGCAGGGAGCAGTAAGCTGGTTGGTTGCATTGCATCTGCACTCAGGAAACAGAGAGTGAGGATATAAAGCCTCAAGCCCTGCCCACCCCCCTCCCTTCCTTTAGCAAAGTTCCACCTCCTAAGGGCTTCACAGTGGTGCCCTACAGTGCCACCAGGTGGAGGCAAAAATACTCAAACATATGAGGTCATGAGGGGCTTTTCACATTCGAAACAATGCATCACCTGTCTTTGTCTATCGCTGGGAATCTCCATGGATTCCCAGTGCTCTCTCTTTATTCATTAGGAATTTCTTCCTTACTCTGGTTCTCCTCTTTAACCAGGCCACAGGAAGGGCAGCTCCTACCCAAAGTCTGGTTGGCTTTTCTTAGGGGGAAGTGGAAAGAGAAGAAAAGGCTCCATGTTTGTGTCTGAGTTGTCTTCAGTTCCTACTGTAGTTTTCACTTCAGCAAATCACTAGGAGCGATTCTTGTATCTGTATGTTCCATCAGCCAAGCCTTTTAGAGTCCTGTGTGGCAGACTCTGTTCTGAGATGTAGATTGTAGCTGTGAATGAGCCTACACTCAGAGCTAAACTGCCCACTTCTGCCTCTGCTTTCTTAGATGGTGTGTTTCTCTGCAGAATGGATTTTAGCTTTCTTCAGTAAATACCATAATAATTATTCTAAAGACTTAGAAAAGTACTTACTTCAACTACATTATTCGATTTTTTTTTTTGAAGAGTATGAGTGTCATAGGATTAGGTCTAATTAGTCTCTAGAGAAATTCTTCAGTAATACAGGAACTTTGTACTGTACCCAGCTCTCTAATTCTCCCAGGTTGGAAAAATAAGAACCCAAGTTCATCATCACACTGATTTCTCAGGGTGTCAGTCCAGTTCTAACCCTGGCTGGCGCTGTGGTTTAGTGTTTATCTCAGCATTTGAATCTTTTGGGCTCATTGTCAGTTATTATGTGTACTTGAAAGTTAAGAGAGCACTTGAACACGCTTGCTGGAAACAAAGGAGCAGAAGTATTCCCTTTGGGGTTTAAATAGATTTGAAAGATCAGTGCCAGTACCGTCACTCCCTCTAATCCTGGTTTTTCATGTGCAAACCCTTATTTGACAGTTAGTCCTTCTTAAAATTAAATGAACTGTCTTCAGCCATGTTAACTTGTCAATTAAAATATTCAAAGGATATTCTTAGACTATGAGATCTGCCATTCATTTTTTTCCCATTTGATGTTATTTTTAAATTCCCTGATGGTGAACTGTACTTGTTTCAGTGGGTTATTAAACAATTTACTGATGTATATATTGTTTTGTTTTATAAAGCCACTGCCAAAAGCTATGGTGTCTCGCCTCTGTGAATCTAAGAAGGTTTGTGCGGCCGCAGAAATGCAGCTTCAGGTGTGTATGCATGCCTCATGCTAACGTTTTTCCAGTTATTATCCCATATATGCCCATACCTTTCAGTTCTTGCCAGCGCTATACATTTATTACAGTAATTATGCTTCTGAACACCTTTCATCTCAGTTCAAAGAACTTGGCCAGAATTGACTCATGAAATTCTCACACTGTCTGTATGAAGTGCATGTGAAATATGAAATATGCTCATTTCCCATTTTTATCAAGGAAATCATCAAAGCCCTCACAGGGCTGCAAAACCTAGTCAGGGCTCAGACTCAGCCATATCTATGGCTACTCATTTTCTGTCTTTCAAAACAAATTGTGGTCGTCTGTGTGAAGTTTAAACAGTAATTACCATTAGATTTAGGATAATATTTATAGACAATTTCCTGGGTTACCAGATGAAGACAGATAGAATTTATGAGCCATCTGGATGCCAGGTCTGTTACCAGATGTTCAGCTATTTGCAGTTACTAAGATTGTTTGTGGCAGTGTTCTGTCCTTAAGTCTTGTTAGTTGTATCAACAGTGCCTGAGCACTCGCCTTTCATCTCAGCAACGCCCTGTAGTGACCACTTAACTCTTTCTGATGGAAACCATTCTTCAGGGTTTAATTTTTAAAACACTTCCCACCAAAACCCCCAAAACAAATCCAGTCCCTACAAAGCAGTAAATGTGCTCTGTTTTTTTTTTGTGTCTTGGCATGTTTTCCAGCTGGGGGTGTAGTGTAGTGCTAGGGTGTTCACAAGCCCCGGCTTCAGTCCCTGATTCAGTGAGGGGGATCGTTATATAGGGACAACCATGGATTTTTCAATTGATTTTCATTATTCAGTGGCCAAGAATGTGAATACAATGAAAAATTATTTAAAAAATGGTATTACCTGGGGAAAGTCCTTTTATAACTTGGTTTTGAGACATGGTTTCAGAAAATGGTCCAGGCTGGCCTTGAATGTGATCCTCCTGCCTCAGCCTTTCAGTGGTGAGGTCACATGCATGTGCTTCCTGGTACTGAAGCCTTTTGATTGGCTTTTGCATGTCTCTTGGAGCTTTCACTTTGAACGTCACCTTCAATGATTATATTTTAAACCAGGAACCGATAAGCCTAGAGAGGGAAGCCATTCCTGACAATGCAGGCACTATATCCTGCTTCTAAGCTGATGCTATGGAACCGCAGGGAGACAGGAGGGGGCCTGTTTTATGTTCTGAGGTGGTGTAGACAGTGTTTTAGGAAATGTGAAGCTCCTTGTGCCATGGACTGTTTATTTTTGTGCCATGGGCTGAGCACATGTGTGGTACCAGGAATGCACCTGCTGGATGAACAGTGGATTAGTTGCTTTTTTGTTGCTGTGATAAACACCATGATCAAAGCCAACGTAAGGAAGAGAGTTGATTCTGACTTACAGTTGCAGAGAGATAGGAGTAGAGGCACAGCAGCGAGGAGCAGGCATGGCGGCAGGAGCGGGAAGCTGAGAGCGTAGATGTTGAACTGCAAGCACTAAGCAGAAAAAGTGAACTAGAAATGACATGGAGTCTTTAAATTCTCAAAGCCCACTTCCAGTGACATACTTTCAACGAGGCCACACCTAACTCTCCCAGAACAATGCCATCAAACTGAGGACCAAGTGTTTGTAAAAGTCTACATTTGCATAGTTTTTAACAGGCATAACTGAAGAAACAAAGCTCTTGAATTCCAGCTTGTTTGTAGAGTGGACAAAAAGTGTACCTCTTCAGTTCAGGGTAGAATTAAGTTTCAGTTCACAATCATTTGCTCCATCAGGTCTGGTTTCTTTGGCTATTGTTATCTATTGTTACCCATGACAGAACCGAGAGAGCTGTACTTAGCTGTATGTTTAGATTACCAGCTAAGGGAACATAATGTTTATATTCAGAAAATGTCTGTATTTTTCCAGGGAAGGCTTAACTTAGCGTTATAATTCACAAGCATAATTCTATATGTAGGGGAAGCCAGCGGCCAGAGGTCGTTTGCATGTTGTCTTTTATGCAGACTAATCCTCATCTCTTTCAAGTCAGCAGCTGCACATTCTCTGCATATTCCATTTCTAAATCAGAAAGATGCACCTCAGCTGTAACTGCATGTCAGACTTTATCTTCAAATAAAGCACTTAACTTTGTTACAAGGCAAATTCACACCATGTTAATACTCAAGCACTCGGGTCAGATGTCCTGGTGAAAGCTTCCTTCCCTTCCCTTAGGTTTTCTACATAGTACTTAGTGCTCAGCACTCTCCCAATTGCAGGTTTGGTGCTCAAATTTCCTCGATTCTTCTTTACTCTGTTTCATTTCCACGGCTGCTTTCTCCTGGGTGTGTGTGTGTGTGGTGGTGGGGGAGTTCCTCCTCTCCAGGTCCCCTATGTTACAGCTGCTTCCTTTGTTCTCCTGACATAGATATGAGGTCTGCTGTGGCCCTTGCTCCAAACCCTACAACAGCTGCATCAAAGTTTGTTGCTTCTGTATCAACACACATACTAGAATGCCTTTGACATCCTCAGAAACTCAGCTGTATCCATGTAGTGGTCTTTCACCTCTCCATACAAAACTAGGATTTTGATCACTTCACACCTCTCATTTATGATCTACTAGGATCCAGGATGAAACCAAATAGGATTTGTTAGATTCATGGGACCACAACCAATAATTCTGATTTTTTAAAAACATTTTTAACTGCATAATTCCAATTTTGTGACCACAAATTTAATGATGGATAAGGTTGAAAATTGAACACCAATGTGTTTTATGGAAAGCTTCAGTGTACCCTTTAAGCTTTTGACTGGTCATATATGTGGTATAGAGTATGTTTTAAATAGCACATGTTTGTGTTTGTGAGTCTTCTCAGCTGTGGTTCATAGTTGCCATTCTGGTGTACTTACAACATCTTTGACTGACCACATCTTAAATACAGGATAGACTACCAAAGCTAAACAGAGGTTTCTGTCTGCCTAGGTCTTCTATGCCGCCCTGGATCAAATCTACCATGGCCAACATCCCCTGAGGAAGTCAACCACAGACATCCTCATGGAAACTCAAGAACAGTTTTACGGTTTGCCCTATGTTCCTGACACTGTGAGTCTGCATTTTAATCTGTCATGCTGTAGAATCGCTCTGATTATTTCTCTGGTTGCCATCATTATCCTTTGGAGGACTTGGGATCCCTACATTTGTGTTGCGTTTGTTTTGCATGGGCCAGATGCTAGGAATGTCCTGGCTCATCTAATGCTCCATGCACGCTTTTCTTTCTTCTCTCAGTGCTTATTAGATTCCTAGGAAAGTGGGTGTTAGTCAATGTTGTCTTTAGTTTTTTTAATTACATATAATATACAATATATAAATTTATATAATACTTTATCTTTATACATATGATGAGACTCTAATAGTGTTCATTGTAAAGAGAACTAACATTTATTGAATACCTTACATTGTATCAAGGGTTGTACTATATTCTTTATAGCCTGTCTTATTTAATGCCCTGTTGGACTAGAGGGCAGGGGTCTAGTTGTCGTTTCCAAATTCTAGGTGCTTGACTTTACCTCACTGCTTTGGAGAAAGAACTTTAATTTCACTCTTTGGTTGTTTTGTGTGTGTGTGTGTTTCTTTTGTTTTGTCTTTTGAGATAGGGTTTCTGTGTGTTAATAGGCCTAGCTGTCTTGGAACTAGCTCTGTAGATCAGGCTGGCCTCGAACTCATAGAGATCCATCTGCCCCTGCCTCCTGAGTACTGGAATTAAAGGTGTACACTACCACCACCCAGCTCAAATTTCATTCTTAAATCAGCCTAATCTTTTACATAACTCTCCTCTCATTGGGGCTGGTATTGAGGTTATCCCCAGGATTAGATAGTGATGGGTTGGGATCGAAAGCATTTGACCTGTACAATTTGACCATGTCATTAATTTCTTATTGTCTTAGAAGCTGAAAATTCTAAAGATACAGAATGCTTCATTAGAGTGGGAGAGCCGACCCTGCCCCTCACTGGCGGCAGCACTTTGGAGAGTGGGCCTTGTACCTTACTTGAACAGCACAGCAGAGCTGGTCCTGTTGACAGGGGTGTAGGTGATCTGGCCTGGAGGGTTTGAGAGCAGGAGAGCTGACCCTACCCATCCCTTGCCACCAGTGACAGGCAGGAGAACTGGCCTTAGGGACATGAGAGTAGGAGAGCTGGTTCTGCCCCTCAGCAGCTGCATCACTGGGGAAAGCAGAACTGGCCCTAGTGATGTGGGTGCTGGTGAGCTGGTCCTGAGGGCCTGAGAGCAGGAAAATTGCTGCTCCCTGCTGCATTGGGTGAGCTAGCCAGGGCAGTGCCAGAGAGCTCACCCTGGTGGTGACAATGAGGGAAAGCTGCCAGGCTGACCAACCCAGCTACCATCCAGGCCCAGAACCAGGACTATGAGTTAGTCCACCTCAGCGTCCACCTCATCTGTGAACTGCTAGAGTATGTGAAGGGGCCATACTGGCAGATCCAAAGCTGTGGGATCTCCATAACACAAGGCAACAACAGGGTGTCCAAGAGAAATCCCAGATAGGGTGTAGTATCAATGGTGTAGCAGAAGCCAGAGGCCTCAAACCAGACCAATGACTTATTGCAGTGAACACTTCAAGTAAAGATGTGTGGACTTAAAAAAAAATACAGAATGCTGATCAGAATGCCCCCTCCATGTATGTGTACATATGCAAATGTGCTGTCTTTGTGTATGCTAAGTATAAGCTCTACCATTGGGCTGCACCCTGGCCTTAATTGCCTAATTTTGATGTTCTGTCATTTGTTATTCCAATCTGTGATCTGTTGAGCTCTTAGACATACATGTTGGTGAATATTGGTAGGGATGAAAACAACCTCTTAATTATGAAAGACATAATACAAAGACTTTCCTAGGTTTTAGTAGCTGTCACCTAATTTGTAGACTTTAGGACGTGTGTGTGTGTGTGTGTGTGTGTGTGTGTGTTTATGCTTACCATATTTTTCACTTTAACCCCTTTAAAAATGATAATGCAAGTTGGGACTGGAGAGATGGTTCAGTGGTTATGAGCACTTGATGTTCTTTCAGAGGACCCAGGTTCAATTTTCAACACCCACATGGAGGCCTACAGTCACTGTCTTCTGGTTTCCACACGCCACAAACAATAAACATACAGTGCATGCATGTGTTTGAGCATGTATACCCACACATACATATACATGCAAAACACTCAGACACAAAGTAAAAATAATAAATCTTTTTTCAAAATTAATACAAGTTAATTCCATGTAGATACAGCATAATCAATAAGGAGCATGTGTCTGTGTCTTGAATAAACCTAGAGTAGGAGAGGACTGGACACTCTCCAAACCTACAGAACTTCAGTGTGGTTGAGCATAATGTCTGCCACCTTTCCTTATCTCATGTCTTAGTTGCTTTTCTATTGCTGTGATAAAACAGCATGACCTAGGCAACTTTTGAAAGAAAGCATTAATTGAGGTGACAGTTTCAGAGGGTTAGAGTTCATTATGGCATCGTGAAAGAGCAGCTGAGGGCTTACATCTGGTCCACAGCCACAAGGCAGAGAGAGGCAGCACACGTTGTTTTAAAAACCCGACAACCCACCTGTAGTGACACGGTTCCTCCAAAGAGCCCACACCTCCTAATCATTCCCAAACAGTTAGACCACCTGGAGACCAAGTATTCAAGTGTATGAGCCTGTAGAGGCCATTCTTACTCAAACCACGTGTTCCACTTCTGTGGCCATGTCATAATGCAAAAAGGCATTTAGTCCAGCTTCGAGAGCCCCCAGAGTTTTCCAGTCTCAACAGTCTCTTCTGAGATTCAAGGACATCTGTTAATTACAATTCAGGTTACAATCCCTGTAAAATGAAAACGCAAATTACATGCTTCCAACATACAGTGGCACAGAGTATATACCATACCAAAGGGAGGAAAAGCATAGTGAGGAAATACTGGACCAAAGCAAAACTGAAACCCTGCAGGGCAAACCCTGAATCCTGTAGCTCCATGTCTGATGTTAAAGGGTTTAGATGACTGCCCTTCCAGCTGTGCACACCTGTCTCTCAGGCTGGTCCCACTCCTATATGCAGCTCTTCTTACTAGTTACCACATGGCTCTGACACTTCTAACATCCTGGAGGCTCCAATACAGTTTAGGCTTTACTTCCACAGCTTCATGCAGTGACCTTCTAGGGTCTCCGTGAAGAGTCCCTGCCATACACCTGTCCTCATTGGCTCTCCTTAACTGTGGAGGAGGATTCCACTTTACCCAGAACCATATGGACGACACTGCCAAGTTTGACTACCATCTTGGGGTGAACCTTGGTACCCTTGATTCACATATCAGCTTTGATTTGTTGTTGCTTTTCAGAAGCAGAAAATTCCTTAGGCCTTTTCACCATTTGGAACTTGAGCTGTGTGATATCTTTCCCCGAGGGCACCATTCCCTTATTCCATTTCTGATCAGGCTTCTCCTTTATCTCCTTGTCTCTTTCAGCACAAGCCTGAACTCCAACATTAAATTCCCTACTGCTCTTCTATGCTGTACATTTTGTTTATCTATTTTGCCCCGCTTGTTTTTTTCTTGTAGACATACATAAGAGTAATTACTAACAGCCATGCAATAGAGTCAATATTAGGCTTTTTTAAAGATCTCCACCAAGGAGATTAGTCCATTACTTTTCAGTTCAGCCTCAGGAAAATTATGTGGGCAAGGGCAAAGAGCAACCATATTTTGCCTAAATACTGTAAGAATGGTCTCCAGCCCAGTTGCTAATATTCTCTGAAACAGCTTGAGCTGGTCCTCAGTACTCCATACTGCTCTTAGCACAGTAGTCTTCCAAGTTCCTGCTAGGCTGACCCAGTAAGCTCTGCTTATAGTGTTCAACTGCTGTCATAGTTCAAAGTCCCAAAGTATTCCATAGCAAGGTCAGACCTGTCATAGCAATAGCTCACTCTCTCTGCCTTAGTTCCTTCTACCATCTTAGTTATCTTCACGCTATGGTTAAAAAACAAAACAAAAAAGCAAAAAAAACTGTGACCAGGCCAAATCATAAGAGAAAATGTTTAATTGGGTTTACATTTTCATAATGATGGGGAATCCTAAAACAGACTCAACATGCCTAGATTCCAGTCAGTGTGTATAGAAGAACCATTAAGTGCATGGTTTATAAAACAGCACCCATACCACATATAAAAGGTCTGAAAATCAGATCTCTGTCTCTCACTCACTGTCCATAAAACATTAAGCAAGTTGGAGCCCAAATGTGGGAAGTGTGAATGCAAAAGGATGTCATTCCCATAGCCTTTTTATTCTAATAGAATTGAACACCTTACATACAAGTCAAAGGCATTAAATGTAAAACAGAAGACTGACAAATTTAACTACATTTAAATTTAAAATAATAAGTTTAATATAGAGTAAGCCGGTCTACTCTTTAACAAAAGTGGAACTGGGTGATGGTGGTGCATACCTCTAATCCCAGCACTCTGGAGGCAGAAGCAAGCCAATCTTTGTGAATTTGAGGTCAGCCTGGCCTACAGAGCTAGTACCAGGACAGCCAGAGCTGTTACAGAGAGAAACCTTGTCTCACAAAACCAAAAAAAAAGAAAACTAAGATATAGAAGTAGCTATTTCCATGTTACCCATTTCCTTTTTCCTTTTCCCCCTTTTTATTGTAAAGAGCATAGAATTTGACATGCTAGGAAAGATGTATTTTTAAAACACTTTGAAATGACACAAGGTACAAGTATTTAGTAAACCACATGAAATGACCTCCATATTGACCAAAGAATGCTGACTAAAACCATATCCTATTACCATTTTATTCTCCTCAGATTGGTAAAAAGTATGTCAGTTCAGAATACCAACTTTGGAAGACTATGGCATCATAGGACTATGGCAGGAGTGCAGAATAGTTCCCCTATTATGGAGAAAGTTAGGCATTATTCACTAACATTAGATGTGGGCCCTCCTGTGGCCAGCAGTCATCTCTTTCATTCAATGTAGGCAGCATGCTGCCAGGTATACTCTTAGTTCCAGGAACTAAAAACAGGAAAGTTCATAACAGGTTGTACATGTTTTTGAA